ACTAACGAAGATGTTGAGTTAATGAGTTTGGCTCGAAAATTGAAGGCAACAAACACGCGCAGGTTGTTGACTTCCACACGGTGAATGAGGAGGAGGAGGAGGAGGAGGAGTGGAAGCCACTTTCGGTTTCAGTTTTCGGCTGCTTCCATTCATTGTCTGTGCAATTGGCCGCAGCTGTCACATTGGGCGGGCAGCATATAAAATCCACTTGCCACACGCACAGATGTATATTTAATTATGCACATTTCGAGCACTTGATATTTGTTGGCCAAAACTAATCGGCTTGGCTAGCTGTCATATTCCATTTTGGCCAAAAACGCAAATTGCAAATCGCACAGCTTGCCCAATGAGCTGATGTATTTTTAATTATGCTTACCATCATTTTGCCGAGGCTTGCCTGCTTTCAATTAAATCGCAAAATCAAAAAGAGAAATAAATGCAAAGTGTCCACCTGTTTCGCTTGGCCATCCTGTCTGTTTTTCGGCCAAGTTCAGCTGCCACAAAGTGAATCAAGGACGATTTTGTTGTTATCTGCATATCGTTTGGCTTTTTATCAGCGCGCTCGCAATTTCATTTTTAATGGATTAAACATGCACGAACCGAACTCGAATCGATTTCTCACCCATAAAATATGCATTGTTTTTTCTTTTTCTTTGATTTTTTTTGCTGAACGCGCCTTTGGCAAAAACTAGGTTATAACCTTGAAATCCCACAAAAGAAACGTTGAAAATTTCAAACTTATCAATAAATTCATGACGCTGCAACACAAAGCCGGGCAGCACATCAAAAGAAAGCCTCACAAAAAAAAAAAAAATAAATAAAATAAACAGAAACAGAAAAGACGTAAATATATATATTCAAATCCATGCTAAGCTCCATTAAAATGCTAAACAGCCAAAGTCTCTGTTTGGCTGCGCCGTTTCGCAATCGCATCAGAAACTGAAAAATATTCCAATGGGTCGGCCAGCCGCCTCTCGATGCTTGCATTTGAAATTGCCAAAGGTCAGGCCGAGTCGACGCAGCCAAGCGGGGCAGCAAGCGCATCCCAGACGCCAGTCAGCCACGGTGTCATCATCATCATCATCACAATGTGCATTGCTACATAAGCTGCATTCATCCCAAAAAGTTGTTTGGCAACAACAAACCGTACAGCAATTAACCATATAACGAAAATTTGTACAAATTGACAACGCGCGAGTGAAAGAAGAGAGGAAACGAGCTGAAAGAGTGAAAAAAAGAAGAAGAAAAACATAAAAAACTGGATTTTATAATTTCAATGGCTAAAGAAAAAAAAAAAACACTCAAGAAAACGAGCCAAGGTCATTGCGAAGCGGCCAAGCTGCGAAAGAAATTGTGGAATCATGTGGAATAACATTTACACTGAGCAGAATCACCAAGAAGAATGCGACAATCGAGAACCGGCAGTGAGAGTATCCGAGTCTGGGGAGAACTTAATGAAAGAGATATTTACAAAATAAGCTCCAGATGATAAACAAGTTGAAACCAGGTCTAATGATTGTTGGTTCAGTTCGTGAAGCTGGCTTTTCCATACTCTCAACACCAGTTTCTGGTTCAAACCTTGGTGTGTCATGTACTTTAGAAATCTTCTGAAACTGTTTCATGTCGAACATATTTAATACGAAAGTATTCTCTGTTAAGTTCCGTGGTCACAAGTGATTTCTTCTGTGGCGCTAAGTCTGGCTAAAAAGTAGATTTTTTTTTATTTAATGCGAATCATTTTCGAGTAAAAGATTTTTTGCTCCGGATTTCGGTTCAGCTGTTTTATGAGCAACTGTTTAGGTTTTAGGTGCGGTCTCACAGTTTTGGGCGTGAACATCTTCCATTCAAAATCGGTTTGCAGCTCTAAAAATCAAGACACATTTGCTATGCAGAGGCTCTAAAAGTCTCTGTACATGAAGCTGGCCTTTCAAAGTAATTAAAAATCTGGTTTAGTGTGTTACATTCATTTGCATAAATGTAGAAACCCATTTACTTGAATCATCTCCTGAGTGTAGCGCTTCATTCTGATTGTTTATAGCACAGTCATTCGATTTATTTATGCTATAGAAATGTTTATAAACTATCACAACTTTGTTGTAAATGTATGCTTTGGCTATGGCAATTCAACATCTATACACTTGGTGCTAGCAGCTCGTCTCAGCCCGACAGTTCGTCTCACTGCGGTAAATAGATACTTTGCTGAAGAACATACAGAATTAGCTGCAGACCTCATTGAAATCGAATATGCTCCATTGTACAACAAGTTTTTTTTTTCGCCCAGTGTTGAAATAAACGTGGCTGGCGATTCAACATTCAGGATTGGTCAGCAGAGGCACTTGTGGCTTCAACTTTTAGTGGCAGAACCACTTTTCGATTGCAATTATTCGAGACACGGTAGCGCATGAAGCAGATGATCATGATCATCATGATGAAGATGATTGAAGAGGATTGAAGATGAAGATCTCCATGTGCAGATAGGCAGAAGTGACTGTGCGACGTGTTAAACATGTTTCGTTTTTGGCGAACCATCAACAGCTCGCGAGAAATCCGGTTGCTCAAAAATGCGTAAAGTGGGACGATGTCGCTCCTTTACAAACAAAGCACAACAACAACAACAACTGTCTGTAATATTATTAAATGCCTGACAACTGGCCGGGCAAAATGCCAAAACACAACAAAATAAACATCAGATCAATTAACACACAAAACAAAAAACGGTAGATTTGTTTGTGGCCTCATTGGCAGGTGTTGATCAATTGATCAATAACAAAATGCAACTAGCTTTGGGCCTGGCCCATTGCGTAAGCCGCACGCTCTCTGCTCGCCTCCAGCCACGCCCTGCTCTGTGGCAATCCCAGTGAGAATCTCTCAACAACTTTTTTAACTCTTGCGCAAGCTCTAAACTTGAACTTAATGACGCTGCGCTGATAGACTTGCGACTTGCTTATCATTCAATTGAACCTGAGGCAGCCCAAATTGGGTTATCAACTGTTCTGCTCTGGCAGAAGCGAAAAGAAAACCGAAATTTATGCTGGATGCTGCTTAGAATTTGGCAGTGCTTCAGTATTTGCTCGTACTTGCAAGGTGTAGGAAATCCGAAAATCCGAATAGATCATGCGTCTAGTGCTGCTTGCAACATGCCTCTGGCTGACTGTGGTAAGAGCTGAGGAAGCTGCGAAAGCAATTCATTGAGTGGACGTGAAAATACCCTGGGAGAAAGCAGAATTGTGAAAAGTTTCTATATGTTGTTAAAAAGACCTTCCGGTTGCTTTAATTTGATTTAATAACTATTTGATTTGGTTGTCCGTCAATTAACAAATTTAATCAATTACTTAATCATGCTTATTTTCTGTACAATGCAACTGGCTATCAATACAGCAACTATGGGAGAGTATATGTGTAATATAGTGATCAGTCAGTGATAGTCGATGGATATTGATGGGAACAGTTTGATTCAGCTAACTGATTGACTGATTAATAACTGGCGCATAGCCCGAAGACGTTTAATGGTTTCAATTTTTCTAATTTCACCTGCAAGAGTGAAAAATTCGTGAAAAATGGTTTGTTTGTGAAAATAAAAGCAAATGGTGAATTTTCTCGCTATTCTAAACTCTTCATTGTTGAAGATTCATCCCGTGTTTTCGAGACTTGTGAAGTTTACCTAACATTTGTACAACTCCTGTTTTTCACGAGATCAACATTGACAAACATGTATGTAAATAATATTACATTTCTCACAAGCGGAAAATGGGGGAAAAACTGAAAAAGTAGTAAGAAAAACTTGGCATTGGCAAAGTTTGGTACAAACATCTAGCATATTTCCTTTCCTTACTTAAACTCAACGTGCCAATTATTATTCCTATGTCAGCCGTATTTATCATATGCGGAATTTTGAATGTCTGTCGATTTAGTTGCTGTAGATAATGCTTGAGGATTATCTATGACTTATGGACCCGAAATGAATTGTGCACCTCTTTCCAATGCGAGTTCTCACCGATCTTAGCTAATCAGTTGACACGTTCCAGCTGCAGAGCTCGGCGCTGCTGAACGGCGAGCAGCGCACCATTGAGAAGTGTCTGCGCAACTATGGAGGACTCAGTGCGGCGAACGCGGAGCGTCTGGAGCGGTACACGCAATGGTCGGATAACTATGAGGAGGTGCCCTGCTTCACGCAGTGCTATCTCAGCGAAATGTTCGACTTCTATCACGATCAGGCGGGCTTCGAGGAGCGCCGCATCCGCCAACACTTTGGCGAGGCCGTCTACGAGGCGTGCAAAGAGCGGCTTCAGCTGGGCGCGGATCAAAACCAGAGCAGCTGTGAGCACGCCTATGCGGGCTTTCACTGCATTGTCAGCGTGAGTGTCGAGTGATAAGAGCTGCTGGCCGGGCCAGTGACCGCGAGCAGCCAGCCAGCTGATAAGCTGATGTTATGTATGTATTTGCAGCTGGAGAATGATCCATTCATATTGATTGAGAACATGCCGAATGCCACGCGCGTTGCCAAGTCGGCAATGAAGGAATGCCTGCAGCAGGTCGACCAGGTGGAGTGGAATCGCATTGCCGACTACGCCCAGTTTCCGCCCACGGAGCCCATACCCTGTTTCACGCGCTGCTTCATCTCGCAGCTGCAGCTTTTTGATGAGCGCACGCGCCGCTGGCGTCTGCCGGCCATGCGGCAAGTGCTGGGCGTGCCCCTGGTGGGCGCCCGTGTGGCTGGCTGTGCCCAGCGCCGTGGCCGGAATCCCTGTGCTACGTTTTACCAGCAATTCACGTGCTTTGTGCTGGCCGATTAGCAGTTGTTAGTTACACTGAGCGAATAAAACGTGTGTCTCGCGTCATGTCTGCACATCCCAAAGTAAGGCGAACGTTTAAATATTTGAAAACTTGAAAGAACGCGAATTTTCAAATATAAATTGCAAATGAAACATTTTGATAAAAAAATTTAATTTTTTTTAATATCTTAGCTCTCGTTTTAGAAAGTAAATCCACACAATGCTTAATATTTAAAACGAAGTATTGTCCTCCATTTTTTGCGATCCTTTAATATATTACTATATAGTTAATGCATTCTTATTTATGTGTTTTTTTTCGGTAATCAAACTTTTACTGAAGGTTCAGCTTTTTTAGGTGCTATATTTCGAAAGATAAATTAATCAATCTCAGTAATTGCTATAACATCTTGTTCACACTTCTTACATATGATCCATATATTATCAACTGCATATATCATATAGAAAGAATCAGCCCGAAATTGTTTTTTTCTCCGTTCTGTGGTCATATCAAGAAGAAATACGATACCTGAATTAATATATGCATATATGACTGCAGGGCAATATCATTGCATATTGTAAAAACTGCATTCAAAAATAATTTTATATAAATTTTTGGAAAGTGCATAAAACTTTTTTTCGTATATCAAAATGTTTTAAAGCGTATTAGAAATATAGAGAATATTTGTGAATGAAAACTTTTATAAGTTAGGAAATTTTATCATATTATTGTGAGCTTTGAATAAGTTGAAACCACAATTATTTTTTTGAGTGTATTTTTAACTGGCTACGCCTATTAAACTGTAAATAGCGTTTGAGGTGCAAAGTGTGGTACGAAGAGAAACATGTTTGGGGCTGAAATGAAGATTTGCAGTTGGGGCTCACATTAAACCACGTTCGTTACATTGAGATTGCCGTTGAGTCGCTCCCAGCACAGATACTCGTCGTACATCCAGGCGCACTTGCTGGCCGCCAGGCGCCGCTGCTCGTCGCTGGTGCGGCAGGCGCTGTAATCCGGCTGAGGCTCCTGGCGGCTGGGTCCGAAGGCCTGCTGCCAGTTGAGCAGACGCCAGTTGCCGGCCTCGTCGTAGAGGCGCAGCGCATCGGCAAAGCACTGGAAGAGACAGGGTATGGACTCGTTGGGTTTCAGCTGGCTGTACTGCAGCAGCTGGACATTGGTGGCATTCAGCTGGCTGCTGCAGAGCAGCAATATCGTGAGGCTGTTGCCTGCATGCAGCTCCGCCTGCTTCAGGCAGCGCAGGCCGCGATGCGCATAGGTGCAGCCGTCGCGGGTTTTGCGGCGCAGCTCGTAGCGGCAATAGTTGTAGATGTCGGCGCCCAGCTCCTCGGCCAGGCGCTGTTTGTGCCACCTGTTGGCTTGGATGTCGAACCAGCCCTTCTCGCTGGCCAGACAGCGCATCAGGCAGGGCAGCTCCTCGCTGGTCCAGTTCGCATACCGTGCCAGCTTCCTCAGATCGCTGTCGATGCGCTCCGGGCTGCTGATCTCGCTCAGGCACTTCTCCAATATCTGCGCATCGCCCGTGAGATCGGCTACGGTCTGCAAAATGTTGGGTTGCTTTTTTTTTTTTTTTTTTGTCTATTTTCGAAAGGTTGGGGTAGAACGCACCACAGCACACAAGGCCAACAGGCTGACGGTCAGACGCATCTTAACGCTTGGAATGCACAATCTCAACTGCGGCCAGTCGCCGCGCTCAGCCCGTATCGCAGCCTGTAAACATGCAGCTGTGCTTATCAGCTGCGTCCTCAGATTAAGCGAGTTCAATGTTTGCCAGCCGCGGCAGCAACTGAAAGGGCAGAGCTTGAACCACTAGAACCAGCACTGACTAGGTCAGTTTTCGTTTTTTATGCCCCCTAAACCCAAGGGAAAGGGCGGAATGGGTAGACTTGCTTTGTGCAAATGTATGCAACAGTCAGAAAATACACATCATCGATAAGTCGCCCAGCTTTTATATAATCGATAAGAATAAGCATCAAACTATAAGTAATTCCAATGTCCGTTCGTTCGAGTTTCCGTCTGTGTGAACGCGTTGATATCAAAGATATTAAATACGAAATATAAGACATTTGAAATGAAGTAGCTTCTATTGTTGCTCGCCAAATCATCGATAACTACTCTCTATTTAATAAAATACATTAAACAATAAATCGATAAAAATCGGTTAAACCCGCCGACTCTTTGAAGTACATATGCCCTCAATCAAAGCTTACAGCCAAGCCGATGTCCATTCGATTATCCTGATGCGTGATCGCGTCGATACCAGATATATAAGATAAGATACATTCTCAACCAAATCATCGATAACTTGCCCCGTATGTATAGAATCTGTAAAAATCGGTATCGAAATCTTTTTTTTTTAGTATTAAGAAGCTTTAAAGAAGTAGCGGCAACAAATGTTGTAAGCAGATACTCGTATACGGTACTGCGAATATCATCCAGAATTATTAAATTTTTAGGATTTTACACCCTTCCTACAAAAATTGTATAATGAAATTTTTGCATGTAGTACGCATTTTCATAATGGACTCGTGAACTATATATGATATCTGCCCAAAGAGTCTCCCTTTCTCTTTCTCTCCCTAACTTCGTTTTGAAACCTAGAAAACACCTTTTTTCAGTTCCAGTTTTGGATCAGCTGTATTTTGAGCAACTCCAGGCCCAAACCGGTTCGCTTCAAAACAATTTGCTAAGGATCTCTAGGATAAATTAACACACATCTGCCGACTACACTTTAACATAATTTGTTTTTGTGTGTTTTTTGTATGTTGTTGTTCGGCAACAATAATTTTTATTTTGAGAGTTGTTATCACATGAAATTAATTTTTAGCATAAACCTTGCGCACAACATGGCGATTGATGGGCAGCCAGCAGGAGAAGACACGATTGGCCCAGGTGCAGACATCCGATTCGGCTTCATTGTGATCAATGCACTTCTCGAGGCCATGACGCACTGGCTCCAGATCCTTGAAATTGTTCGATGTGAACTGCGCTATAATCGCCTTCTCATTGAAGCCCTTGCGCTCCGTGAACAGGCCCATCTTCTCCACAAAGCACTTCACATAGCAGGCCGTGCGGCGATGTTCGGGAAACTCATAATTCAGGAACTTCTCGTAAATATCATCGGGCACATGATACTGCTCGAGGCACTCCTCGTGCGCCTGCACGGCATCGTCGTGAGTGCGTATCTGAAACTTGGCGCTGACCTAAAAAAAAAAAAAGAAGAGCAGAGGAATACCTTTATGTAGTTCCCAGTTGAGGTGCGTCAAGGACACAAGCCCCAGTTACCTGGCCAACTGTGGCAGTTGCCACCACGGCAAGGCTGAGCAACAAGGCGTTAAGTTTCATCTCTGGACTGCGATTGCGACTGTGACTGCGACTGGAACTGGACTGACTTCTGGCAGGGCCTGAGTGCGAATGTGCCAACTGGCGAGCCAAGATTTTCCATATTTTTGTATATGGCCAATCGGCTGCGACTAGAAAATAAACCAAGACGCGCGAGCTGCCGACTGAAAGCCAAAGTGAATAACATGCCAAACCCGTTGCCAGACTGGACGGGTGGTGCATGTGGTGCGGCGGTGCGGTGGTGCTGGAGGTGATCTGTTGGTACCCTTGCGTCAATTTTGCTCTTAAAAAACGGGTAACTGTAGCAGCGGCATCGACCAAACTGGTTTGGGTTTGGGTTTCGACTTCGACTGCGACTGCGGCTGCGACTGCGAGTGCGACTTTGCTGTCAACGGCATTGTTTGGGCCGCGCGTTGGCTTGGCCCGGTGTTATATAACCAACGGCTACGTCGGTGGCTTTAGTACCTGGTGGTTACGTTTTGTTTGAGCCAATTAAACGATTTGTTTTTTTGTGCCACAAATTTACTTGGGGCTCTGCCACACACACACACACACACACACCAAATTTTTTTTGGCGCCTCGTCGCTATTTTTGTTGACGCTGAAAAATTTGTGGTTTATTTTTTTTTGCAGCAAATTCTAACACCTCGTCGGTAGTTTGCTGCACACTTCCGCCATGAAAATGTTGGCCTGGCAGCCATTTTTACCTGCCACACAGCAGCAGCAAAAAAAAAGGGAAGCAACAACAATATTTTGTTTATATTTATACCCTGAACCCATTAAAAATGGGTATAAGGGTATATTGTATTTGTGCAAAATCCAAATGTATGTAACAGTCAGAAGGAAGATGCCATATATATTCTTGATCAGCATCAATAGCCGAGTCGATCTAGCCATGTCCTTCTGTCTGTCTGTCCATCCGTCCGTCCGTCCGTCCGTTTGTCCGGATGTATGAACGCAAGGATCTCAGAACCTATAAGAGCTAGAGACTTGAAGTGCTAGAGACTTGCTCCTAGTTCCCGCGCAGATCGAGTTTGTTTCCGATAATCGATAACATACTCCGTTTCCAAGCAATCGATAAAAATCGATATCTATATCCTGTTTTTTGGGCAATTCTGGTAAATAATAAGAGCTAGAGTCCCGAAACTTGACATATAGCTTCTAAAATAAAATATATATATATATGCATTTGATGTTGGAAGAAGAGGGTTCAGGGTATCCCCTAGTCGGGAGCTCCCGACTAGAACCTCTTTCATGGTTTAGTTGTTTTTTTGTTTTTTCTGTCGCAGAACTGCGCAGCGCCACAAATAAATTAAATAAATTATTCAATTGAATTTATTTATTACCAACCAATTTGGTCGCCCAGCGGACTTTTGCATTTGTGTAATTAACGGCAGGCGGTGCACACAATGCACAGATTGCCAACTCCACCAGCCGAATGGCTTCAGGGGCATGTTTGTTGCAACCGATATTGGTGCAGGGTTCTTAACCCCAATGTGTAGATACAAAAAAAAACACAGAGACGTAGTCGGCATATTTATGGGTCATGCCTTGAGAATGAGATGCCAATCTTTGTATTGATGCAATCACATGATGCGGACAGCTTTTCAAAACGAATTCATCTGCCGTGGCCTATTACGGTGTGCTCTTTGGGGACATGTGATATTTCTGACAGCAATTGCTTTGTTGGGACTAGCTTTACGGGAACTGTTTAGAAAGTTGTTAAAGCAAGTTACATGCTTGTAACTTTACATTCTTCCCTAAGTTATTCACTTGGTAGAGGTCGGAAGGCACAAAATTGATATAAAATATATTTAAATATCAAATATATTTGTTTTTTTTTTTTAATTTTAAAGTAGAAACAGTAGAATCTTCATTAGCCACAGCATGAAAAGTGACTAGAATATTTTAATAATAATAATTTTATATTTTATAGAGATTATCTAAAAATTGGGGTACACCATATATTTTCCTTCTTTTTCGTTTACTTTCAAAGAGCGTATCTCTACTCTTAAGTTCCATATGTTAGCCTGGGTATTCGCATACTAATTAATTAATTAATTAATTTTTTTTTATAATATCTTGATTTCTTGACTTCGGCAAGCAAATGTTGTATATCCACTGAGATCCCCTTAGAAAAAGTAGTTGCCAGCCACTGCTTTTCCCCAAAAAGAAAAGAGAGCAAATAATAGAAAAATGTTAAAAAATATGTGAATTTGAAATGTCACTTCGTTGGGCACACACACCGGGGGGGCTGTGACTTTTTTTTAAGGGTCACCATTTCCAGTTAACGTTTTAACCTTTGCTCCCATAAATTGAACAAACTGCTGGCGGTGCAGCCCCCGCCACCTGAATGCTGTGTAGTATTTATTCAACAGTTCAAAAATATTTGCAAAACGCTTCACAAATGCATTTTTTGTCAAGCCATTTATTGAAAATATGTATGTTAAATGGAAATGCGTCGAATGTGATTGTTGCAGCTGAAAAGCCTGAAATGGAAAACGTAGAAAAGCATATTGAATTAAAAGCAAGCTGCAGCTGATAATTGATACTCGAATTGTTTTATACATATAAATAGATATATGATACATATATGTGTATGTATGTGATATATAGTACATAAACCTGTGTACACCGACAATTTGTTGAAATGTTGAAGCTGTAATAATCCCTGCATATAATAAAATATTTCAATGTTTAGTAAAAACAGGTAAATTAATAAGTAGGTAAACCAAAATATTAAATTACAGACACTTGTTAACTAATTGCCAAACAAAATCAATTCTAAATTCTTTAGCTTGCATTTTCATCACATTTAAAGCAGTTAACCTTGTTTGGACTTTGCCAAAAGTATTCAAAGTGGCCAGATGCATAAAGTAAGCATCATAAAATTTCATTGTTTTTCTGCTGCACACAAAAAAAAAAAAAAACAAGAAAAAACAACAAAAAAAGATGCCAGTGCAATTAAAAAAACAAATGTCAAAAAGTTACATGCGAAAACTACACGATGCTTTGTGTTTTGTTTGCATGCAAAAGCATACTCTGGTTTCTGCTTCTGCTTCTTCTTCTTCTATTTTTTTTTTGTTGGTATTTTTGGTATTTTTGTTGCTGTTTTTGTTTTGATAGCCGAAACCAAATGCAAATTCAATTGGACATCGCATGCATGCAGGCTGTGTGCCACAGGATATCCGGCTGGCAGCCATTTTAGGCATATCGAGGGCCTTGCGACAGCCAAAAGCTAAACAATAACATTTTTTCAAGCCGACTACAAACACACTTACTTGCATCTCAAGTGTAGCAACATTTTTGCTATGTATTTTGTTTGCTTGGCCTATAAATCAGAAATTGAGCTGCGTTTGCCCCAACCCCACTGCTGCCCCTCGGCTGACTGTCTCGTGGTCTTTGTCTTTGGCTCGTATATTATGAGCTCATATTAAAACATTTTACACACAATTTCGTTGCAGTTGGTCGCCTGGTGGCCTGCCTGCCAGCCTGGCAGCCTGCTTGGCTGGCCTGCCTGGACCAGGCATGAATTATTATGCACCTAGGCGTATACGCAATGTTTAATTTTCAACTCGAGCGGCAGCGGCGCGCGCTGCACACACATAAATTCTAGGGCCGCCGACAAACGACTTGTTCAATTTCTCCATATTTTTGCCGGGCATTGCCTAAACTGCCCCCTCGCACTGCTCCTCTCCCCCCGGGCTGGACAATGTTGAAGCAAGAAAATATGTCCGAGCTTGCTAAGGAGCAGTCAGTATTTTTTTGTGTGTTTGTGTTTGTTCGCCTGCTCAACTCCTGCCGCGCGTGCCCCAAAATGGAGAACTGATGCAGGCCAGCCACGTACACATGTCGGAGAACTAACTGCAGGCAGCCACGTTGGCAGCCACGTTGCTGCCCATTGCCCATTGCCCAGTGGCATTGTTGCTCCTCTGCCTGGTCGTTGGCATCATCATCATCAACAGCGACGCAGCAGCAGCGGCAAAAATTTCAGCCATTTGTCCTGCATGCTTGCGGCATAAAAATATGCCAGGGCCAGCATTTTCATGCGGGTCATCTACTCCCGGCTACAGTTCCCAGTTCCCAATGCCCAGTTACCAGTTTTCAGTTCCTGCTTCAACTTGCAGCATTTGAAAGTCATGTGCCGCTCCCTTCCACTAGGTGTCCACTGGGCGTCGCCCCAAAATGTTAGTTTGTGCAGTTTTCTCTTTTATTTTTTCAATTTTTTTTTTTTTTTTGGCAGAGCAGTCGCCAGCTTCTCAGCCTTCGCAGCGTGTTGCCCTAGGTAGGTAAGTTTTGGGCAGCAGTCTGGCTGGGCCGCAGTCGGAGTTGAGAGCCTGCAAAAATCACACAAATAAAAAATACTGTTGGACAGGGGGTGGGTGGAGGGTTGGCATAGTACGTTTAGCAAATGGACTCTGGCCTCAAATGCTGCTGGCACTTTCACAAAACATTTGAAATACAAATAAAAATCTGCAGCATGCGTGTGTGTGAGTGTGGAGGAGAGACGTTGCTGCTGCAGCTGCTGGAAATCATTTCAAATGCAAAGTAAAATTTCATTTTGTTTTACTTTACACTCACACACACACACACTTGCCCCAACCCCTAGCTCGGGAAGCCCGCCGTCTGTCTGCTAGTTGAACATGTTTGTTTACGCTTCATCATGTCGTCGTTAGTTGCTGGTTGCTGCCAGAGTTGCCAGGGCTCTCTGTGTCTCTCTCTCTCTCTCTGTGTGTGTGCTGGTCAAGCGTCTGCACCATTGACACGATGACATTTTAATATGGCTCGTAACTTTTGTTTAGCTTAGACGCACATCCAGCCGCAGTCCATCCCACCCACTTTCTGGCCAGCGTCTTTTGTATTGATGTTGTCATTGCTGTTTGGCTAGTTGGAAGTTTGTGCCGATTTTTATATATGTTGTTGCTTTTGTTGTTCCTGCCTTCAGCTTACGTGCGTGTCATCAGGCAACAGCCAGCGATTTGTATTTAGATTGAGATATTTGTATATAGACAACAGCTGAAGATATTGCCTGCAGCTGCACAGACAGAGTTAATTCAATTCAGTTCAGTTTTATTCAATTTTCATATAAAAAAAAAAAAAAAGGAAAAGAAAACTCTGGCCTCCCGCTCGTTTTTATGTTGATCCCATGTGCTTGCAGTTTTCGTCATATTTTCTTTTTATTTAGGTAAATTGCTGCCTGATTTGATTCAAATTGAAATCCAAAGGTAATGTAGTGCATAAAATCAGAGTCATGCAGACATATACATAACACGCGTCGCGCACCTGCCCCCTACCCCTACACGCTGGCAGCACCTTTCGCCTGCTGCGCGCTCAATTTTTCATTACTCATGCTTCAATCAATCACAAAAATGCGATTTTATTTCATTTTCATGCGTATTATAAGCGCTGATATTCACATTTCTTTTACAGCTCGCATGTCGCGCGCGCTCCATGC